CCTTGTCAGGTCCTTAGCAGGACCTGGAGCCAGGAGCTAGGGCCAGGAATGGAACTCAGGCATTCTGATGTAGAATGGCAGCACCTCAAATACTAAACTAAGTGTCCAATCTTAAAGGTTTATATCTAAATTCTCAATAAAATAGATTCACATGAACTCTAAATGCCCTGATGTAACATTAACTCACAGGAAAGATCATCTTCTATGATACCTGATTTGTTCATCACCGTAGGGGAAATACAGACATTTTTTCAGACACACTAAAGATGTTTCTAAGTACATTTAAAGTTAAAAGGTAAATTCTGGATATTTTTCAGAACCATAAGCAGATAAGACTGTAAAATACCATTGCATTGCTCCATTATGCAATTTTATTTAGAAAGGCCATAAATATTCATAAATATTTTAAAACATGTATTAATGGCTCAGATCTGAATCATTACCAACTTGTATCTTCTTTTAGGCTAAGCTGCTGTGGTAAGGTAGAGGGTAAACTTGCCCGTGCAGCAAGTAGGACTTTGAAGCACTCATACCTCTAAGGGTGAGATATACACAGCACGGGGCTACACAGAATACAGTAATTACTGGCTGTCCTCTTTTAAAGCTATGAAGCTTTTCTAAAATAAACAGTTTAAAAACTAAAGTAAAAAAAAGAAAAGTTATCCCAATTTATCATTAAACTATTCAAACTGAAAAGAACATAGCTAATGTGTTGCTGACAGAGCAGCAGACGTTGGAGAAATGAATGAATACGCTGTGGTATCAGTGTGTTCTAAGAGGAAACATACCAATCATGCCTATGTTTTATAATGTGCAATACCAAACTGCAAATCTCATGTTTAACTTAGATAGTATACAAAATAAGGAAAGACTGGTAGGAGAGGGCTCACTAACCAAAACAGAAGTGAAAAAAAACGTCCATCAACCAGGTTTTCCATTTACGAATATTTAACAGAAGTGGTATCGTGTGTGCCACAAGCTTCTGCCAATGGCCTGGGGAAAGTAGAAGACCTCTGTCTGTGACATTCAAATGAGTAAGTGAACACATAATTAAAACAAAAATATTTAACAGCATCCACAATACTCATGAAAAAGGAATGAAAAAATGATATAAACAACAATGCCATGTGATACAACTCAACAGAAAGATCAACTTATGTAAAATTGTCAAAAAAAGAAATGGAAGGAAACCTATTGGTGGTTACACTTGAGAGGAAGTTACATGGAATTCTTTGTTCACTACCTGAAGCATTTTCATTTTTTTTCCTCAAGTGTAGGAAATGGGAAAATGAAATTGAACAGTAAAATACAATGATTCATTCTTTCTATAGTGGCCCACAACCAGCCATGCCAATTTATCCATTCTCCCCCCACTGGAAAGGAACACATAAATGCAGAACTTAATTGCTGCAAGGAATATAAAAAAAATCCATAAGGAAAACCAAAGTTCTGTCCTACTATTGTCCTTACTCTCACTCAAATTCATAAATCCTCCAACATGCAGTGACAGAATCACTGACCAAAACGATCTGGGGGTAGAGTTGGAAAGATTTTCAATAATTCAGGAATTGTTTTTCTTTGTACCATGAATGTACTTTCCATTAACACGACTACAACCTGAACATATTGTTCTTTCATAAACACTACAGTTGAAGACAGTTCTAATCTCTATTCATGGTGTTTCCTCTCGAGTGAACATTCTATTCTTTCACTAGTTCATACTCTTTTTTTAAAGATTTATTTTATTTTCATTGTTAAGTCAGATATACAGAGAGGAGGAGAGACAGAGAGGAACAACCTCTGTCCACTGATTCACTCCCCAACTGGCTGTAATGGCTGGAGCTGCACTGATCAGAAGCCAGGAACCTGGAGCCTCTTTTGGGACTCCCAAGCAGGTGCAAAGTCCCAAGGCTTTGAGCTGACCTTGACTCCTTTCCCAGGCTACATGCAGGGAGCTGGATGGGAAGTGGACCAGCCGGAAATAGAACTGGCACCCACATGGGATCTTGCAGTGTACAAGGCGAGGACTTTAGCTGATAGGCTACCATTCCAGGTTAGAACCTTAACAATGCCTCCCAAACTTGAAGGTACTGCACACCCAGCAGGTGAGTTGCGAAAACAGGACTTTTAAGTCCCAAAGCTCCTTAAAAGAAACACAGGACCCAACAATTTGAAAACAGGACACAGGACCTACTTTCAGAGTTCGTGATTAGTAAGTCCTAAATTTTCACCTTGAAAATTCCTATGAGCAGCTGCTGCTGTAGATGTGGAGGCAATACCACTGCTGATGTGGCCTGCTCCAGCCCTTCATCCTGTGGGGCCCCAAAGGCAGTGGTTTCCTTGTCGGCTGGGCATTTTGGAGCACCTTCCCCCACTTCCCTGATCTGAATTCCATATGCGCAGATAGCATGTGCTGAATTCCATATGCCCTAGATAGCATGCGCTGCAGCAGCCACATTGTGACAATGCTTAATGAAGTTTGTAGTCAATAAAACCCTTTAAATGTTTTCCAAACATTACAGCTCATGATCCATTTTCTTTTGTCGTTTATGCACTTTAACTAACTACAATTGTAGACCAAGTGTAAAATGTTCACTGAGTCTTAATAAAGTCACCTTTGTGATCTTCTGGATTTGAATTGTGACTGCTAAATTTGGATAAAGACTTCACAAGAGTTTCCAAGACAGATCAAGAAACAGCAAGAGCTGTACACTTAAAACGATTCTCAGTTATGGGTCTGAGAAAGACTTCAAAACAGCCTTTGCTTTGCTCCTTGAACACTGTTCCCAGCACAAAGTAAAGGCAGGGTTGTGCACTACAACACACTGAACAAAAGGAATGTGTTTTAGTGTAACAGGAAAAAAAAACCCATTTTATATATATATATATACACACACACACATACACACACACTAGCAGTAGCCTTAGCTTTGGAGATGGGCTCTTGCGTAGGCTTCCGGGTTTTGCTCAAATGTGAGAGGCTGTTCAATCATATATGACTGATAGTCAACAGCTGAAGTTTACTAGTGGCATCAGGTTTTTACAGCCTGAGCGTCACATCGGATAAGGGAGGATGCACTGATGAGTTTACATATCAATAACAGGAGCTGACTGGAGATTATGGGAGTTCCCATAGCCTGTCTGTGGAACCCATCTATTGTTTCCACACCCTTGCCCGAACTTATCGCTGTTATGTATATTCAATCAATTGTCCTCATCAGAAAGCCAATGAATTGTCCTACAAGAGTCCTGTCCAGAAGACATGGGTCATGGACAACAGCAGGCACTACAATTCTTCCAAGAATGATGTCTTATATGAAAGATTGAAAACAGAAAATAGATAAAAGCAGAACCAGAGCAATATCTCCACTTTGCTTCCTTGTTTGACCTACAGGAGTCCCAAGGTTCCTTAAAAGAAACAGAGAACTCTGCAATTTGAAAATCACCACTCTTTAGAAATCCAAGGGCTACCCATTTCAAAAGCTGGATATGACTCAACTGCACAAGGCACTGGATGTTGCAATAAAGGGGCCGTTCTGATTAACTAGTTCACGTAATATCATGACAAAGTTCAATCTCTTTTTCCACATCTGTCCTTTGTCATCATTTAAGGATACATATCCTCTCAAGTAAATCATGTCTTAACAATGTTTAGAAAAGGCTCACATAAGACACAGGTTTCACAGAAGAAAATTCAGTGAAAACAGAAGCAGTAACATCCACACAGACATATATTCACCTACTAGCCAGCTTTGTTCACCTTTTACAATTCTAAAATTACTGAGCTGAACTTTATTGAATCTATAGAAAAACCTTTCAGCAAGTTCAAACCTTAGGGTGAAGAACCTCTCATGACTTTTTAAATGCATTTCCCTAGATAATCTAATGTATTAGACACTTTGAAAAATGGGAGTAAAGGTTTATTTATGAGTCAAAAGAGACTTTCAGTCTCTTATGTAATGGAATTAACTTCTCTCGAAAAGGAGGAGAGCTAATTTATGTGGCTTTAAAATGAACAAAAATAATTATGACAATGGAGGCCATAATGGATCTGGCATCACAGTAGATGCTTTTCACATTATTAATATGAAAGACCAGAAACAAAATGTTGTATTTCAATAAAAGTATGTACTACAAATGTTATGACAACAGTATTGAAAACAGACTACTTTGATGTTAAAATGAGGTCAAGAGAAGAGTTAGGTTGAGGATATTATTTTAGCCCAACTGAAGCCCTACACTTGCATGATCAATGTTGAGATCCCTAACAGACAAGCAAACAAACAAGCAAATCTGTTGAACGAAATAAAAACATTTTAAATATGTCTCATTTTATTTAATGTAAGGGGGATCTTTCAGGGGTGTTAATAAATCTCACCCTTTTCATTTCTTTTCTTAAATATATTCATGTCAAAAGGGTACTCTTGTTGAAGAACAGTAATTTGCAGTAGATCCTTTAAGATACTGGAGACAAAAAATAGTAGCCAAACAGAACCAAGCAGATATTTCAGAAGAAATGTTTCTACTCATGTTATAACTATGTAATCTACCAAAATATTATGATTTATATGTAATATGACCATGACTCATACCTAAAACCTATCATTAAAAAGAAACATGTTACATTGGGAATTAGAGACAGTCTGTATTTTATCCCCATTGGTATTATTCCAAACATTTGTGACTGTAGTTCTCAGTGATGCCTCTGGTAGCATCAGGGTATGTTATAAGGACTGGATGATTTCCATGCACCATTTCTAAACTCTGTCATTCCTTACTGCCCTGTCACTTTAATATAACCCTTGTGACATTAAATCAATCCACAACTACCACCTCCCCCCCGCCCCTGCACCCCCGGCACACACAGCTGCTACTCTCACTACCCAAGGGTTTTTCTAATACGAAGGTAGAGCACAATGAAGCAATTCCTATCTGATAATATGATCTTAGAAATAGTTCTGCTTTAAGTTGAAGCTATTTTTTGCTTTTTCTCCTCCTACCTGAAGGAAGAAGGAAAAGGTCGTGTCCTGAGGACGGTCGGCTACCAGAGCCAGGAGGTTTTGAAGGTTCGATGAGACTATGTCTTGCTGGTGGAGGGGGAGGTGGCAATGATGGGGGAAGGGCTTCAAAAGCATCTTCACCTGCATTTAAAGAAAGGTCCATGTCAAGAACAGAACTTCATGAAGCAAAACTACTGTAGCAAGCAAAAGCAAGGGTGGATTTTTTTCATGCTGTTTATAAAGAATTTCACTGTAGGGGTTTATCCAGCAGTTCAGCAACTTTGATAACAGGATATAATTATTTGGGAGAAGCGCGCGCGCACACACACACACACACGTGTGCAAGCAGGCCTATTTTTTCTGTCTCTCCACAAAATGTAGAACTAAGGTTAGGAAACCACTCATGATTCACTAGTATTATTTACATTAGGAACTTGAAGTTTACTGTAACTCACGCCATCAAAATATCTTAGATTGATGTTTGTCCACTGAATTTAAAACCACATAAGCCAATGTTACATGATTTAATTTATTGACAAAATACAGAAAAAATGCACCTAAAGCAGAGGAAAATGAAACTTTTCTACTTATCTGATTACCTCTAAAGAATAGGGAACTTTTTTGTGTAGTCCCCCAAATTAGTAACTTGCACTTGCAGCTAAGTACCGTTGACTATTACAGCACACGTTGCTCTTTCCCCTACCACACCTTGGTATTTTACTCATTTTTTTTTTAACCTTAATGTTTAATAAAAATACAGTATACGAATTTTTGCAAGCGCTCTTAAATACCTTGTGAAAACCATTCATATGCAGTTTTGTGACCTAAATATGAAGGCATATTTAAAGAAAATTGTTTACCATTCATTAAATTTGCCTTATAAAAAAATATGAAGATACAGGAGAGCTTTGCTATCATTCTAAGCTGCCATTATCAACTACACTGTATTTACTCAAATCTATTCTCAGCCCCAAGACAGAAACAAGTCAAAACCCACAAGTGGTATGAAGTCCAAAATGAAAAGGGACTGACTCAAAAAAGCTCAGATTCCATCAGAGTAGCTAAAGATTTTCATAAATAGCCATGACTTACATGTGGAAGCAGCTGACTGCTCCCATATGAAATAAGTGTCCTGAAACAGAGAGGAATAATGCAGACAAGTGCATTCAGGACAGTGCTGAGAAACAGGAAGGCCTAATGTATCACAGGGTAACAAATATTTATTTCTCAAATGCAACAATACTTTTTTTTCACAACAGAGAATGAATGAGAAACAAAGAGAGCTTCTGATATTCAAAAGATAATGCAGGACACCGATGTGGCTTGTCCAATAATGTGGTCACTATTCATACACAGCTGTTTAAATTTAAATTAATAAAATTTCAGCTCCATAATCACACTTAACTGTAGACAAATACACAGATCCTTCACTTTCCACAGAAAGACCCAGGAGACAGGGCTCATCAAGGCCATGAAGACTTTGATAGCAAGTCGAGAACCAGTGTACAGGCAGTGGTAGAAGGGAGAAAAAGTTCAGGTAAAAGGAGGTTAGCAGAAACTCTTGTAAATAACGTTGTGTATCTCAAACTATTGGCCAATAGTGTCGGTGAGAAATTTAAAAAGTTCTTTATCTGGAAGGCTAGTTGTCAATACAGAAAAAACTTATAAAATGGAACCTCATCATATATTATTTCATGTTAAGAATAGTTGTTACAAGGAAATCTTAAGTGCATGGAGATTCTGTCAGCATCGAAAAATGGTTGAGAAGCTCCCTGCCTGGAAGTAATGAAATTCATAGTGAGGAAAGCACCATCAAATCGTAGGTCACAATATAGAATATATTTTACACAATTTCTTATCTGCACAAATGCGTGGCTGTTTTTCATAATTTACTTAAGTAAAACTGGATCACTTCAGGCTGGAAAATATGTTCGTGTTTATGAACAACTGCTAAATCCCAACGCATCAAGCTATTTCTTGAAAAACTAACAAACAAACAAAAACCCTAGAATACTGGGGCTTTGAGCGGAAAAAAACACTCACATCTTTTCACATTGTATTAAGCACAGAAGAATCAACCTGAACGATACCCCAAGCAACAGTTGCTCAATCATCTAGAGGGAGAAAGGGCATAGGAACCTGATTACCACCATCACCTGCAGAACTCATGCTAATGTGAGGAACATTCTTAGATACAACGAAAAGGCAGAGGTGGTTTGTGTAAAAAAAAAAAAAAAAAGATGCTTAAGTTTTTAACCTAATGGAGGGACGAGAAGATCATAATCAGAGGGCGTCCTGTTGAGTGCAGAACCATGCTTTGGATTGTCCCGAGTTGGAGGCCTGGCAGGTGGTAATGGCACTGGCTCAGAGGCTGAATCAAAAACATCTCCTAGAGGATAACACAAAACCTTAATGTATTTTTCAGTACAGCATGGGAAAGGAATTTTGCCTCTAAATTCTGACCAGTAAGATAAGGGACCACCAAAGAAAATACATTTTATACACACCTTTTAAATAGATGCCTAATTCAGGGATGGTTGATTTCTTTATTTCTGATGATGTACCATGTGTTCCATTTACTATACAATGACCATTATCACACGACCTGAAACAGAAATCAAACGGCAAAAATCATGCAAGGAAAATAACCTTTTACTTAAGTCATCTGGGAGATATAGGAAATTAGTATCCATGTTCATCAAATAGTTTTAAAATACACTTAATTTCCTTTCCCAGAAAAAGCACCAGTAATAGTATCTAGATACCAGCACCCTTACTTTAACAAAAACTGTTAATTATCTCAAACTAGACAAATAGTCACTCTTGGGGTGGGTGGGTGTGTGTGTGTTTAACTGCAATGAAGACAGAGTGGCTACAGAAATGATGCTACTCAGGTTTCGCTGTGTAACTTGCAACCAAGAGCAAGTGAAGGTGGAGTTCACATTTTACTTCTCTCTGATTTACTCTGAATTCTTAGAGTAAAAATACATTCATAATGAGAAGACACTGGATATTTAAACAGGTATTACAGGAGTGCTTCATCTGAAATTCATTCTATTCTCTCTGGTGGCCACTTCTCTATTTAAGGGATGAGAAATGGTTCATTTGAAAATAGGTGATGATGTATTAGATGTATTAGATAATATGACAGCTTTGTTTTTTCCGAGATTAAGTTCAATTATTCCTTCACTGTTCCACTTTTTGTGCATATTGACAGATCACTTCTGGTACTCCTGAAGAAGTCACACGGGGAAGGGACCACCGAGCTTCCCGAGAGCTCTGGGGAGGAGACGAGATGGGGCGCAGCTTCATTCATCAGCTCTCCGGAACACACGAGATAAAGAATTCACTCCAATTAAGAACTACAAACATTTATTACTTCTCTATACCAGTAAAAAGGTAGTAATGATGGTTATAATTCAAGTTTATTTTCAAGATTTTGGGAAGGATGCCACCAGAAATCTCGAAAAATATGACAATACAATTAAAACATTAAAATTATAGTCCCTACTTCTCCAGCAATGGACTTCCAAGGTGACTAAAAGTCTCATCCTATTTCAGTTTAAAATGACTACATATTTATAGTAATCAATGGATCTTAGGATTATAACAATTTGTATTTGATGAGCAGGAGTAACTTTTTTCTCTAATAGATTAGTAGACACCTGGTTCTTCTGATATAATAAATTGCCTCTCAGTTATCACTTTGTTTTTCCAATGACACTATTTTATCAATGAATGTCTTAAACAGTAGCAATTAAAAAGAAATGTTTTGGTTCTTTCCTTGAAAAATGAAGCCTTGGACCGTACAGTGCTGCTAATTCCAGTTAATAATTTTGCAGAACACTGATCATTCTGACCAGGATCAATTATTAAGACAGGCCTATGGTTAAAGTGAGGATTGCTTGTTTCCCAAGAACTGCATTTTTTTTCAATCTCAGAAACCTGAAGAAACACATTAAAATATCAGCTTTTTCAAATGGGAATAAATATTCTACTCATAAGTTACTTTAAATTCATTGACTTGACCTCAAAAGGAAATGGAACCATAATAGAGAAGGCACCAATGGCAAATGCTGAACAGGCAACTAACTAAAAGGAATTGAGCTCTTTTCTGAGCGCCAAGTGCAGCTCCAGGAGTGAGCTACAGAAGAAACTGTCGCTGAGAGAGTACATCTGAAACTGCATCTAATTCCTGAGCACCTCACAGATGACGCAGGCACACATGCTAATCTCACAGAGTACCTCACAGATGACGCACGCTTTACTAACCTAATTACAGAATGATTGTTTAAAATGTTTTCTTTATTTTTATTGCAAAGTCACATATATAGAGAAGAGGAGAGACAGAGAGGAAGACCTACAATCCACTGATTCACTCCCCACGTGGCTGCAACAGCCAGAGCTGCACCAATCCGAAGCAAGGAGCCTGGAGCCTCTTGCAGGTCTCCCACATGCGTGCAGAGTCCCAAGGCTTTGAGCTGCCCTTGACTGCTTTCCCAGGCCATAAGCAAGGAGCTGGATGGGAAGGGGCTGCTGGGATTAGAACTGGTGTCTATATGGGATCCTGGTACATTCAAAGCGAGGATTTTAGCTGCTAGGCCACAGCGCAGGGTCCCAGAATGTTTTTTTTAACATAAATTAACATTTCATACACACTTTTCATTATTAACAACTCTAATATAAAGAGTTCTTTTGCAAATTGAAGAAAAAATAAAATTTTGGAGCATGTTAAGAAGCCCCCACCCGCAATGCTGAAGTCTCAGCTGTCCCACCTCTGATGCAGCTCCCAGCGAATGCATCTGGGGGAGTGGAAGAGGCCCCAGACTCTGGTTCCCTGCCACGCAAGTGGGAAACCTGGACGGAGTTTCCTGTTCGCAGATTCAACTTGGCTCTCTGGGCACTGTAAGCATTTGGGGAGTGAAACAGATAGCTGATGAAGCTGATTTTTTCTTTCTCTTTATCATGTGCTCTCCTTATCTGCCTTTTGAATAAATGAAAAAATTTTTAAAAAGCTTATTTTGGCAAATTTTTTAAATGATTACATGCATTTTGATAATATGCATTATCTATGAGCTTTATATGAATGTGGCTGACACTTCAAATATCAAGGAAATTTCCATTGTAGTGAGAATAAAACAGCACAACGGAGGCAAACAGGATTATTATTCCTCACATTTTTACCTGATCTAAGCCAAGTTAAAATAGTATTTGATCAAAATCAAAGGAAATATTTTCTTGTTAAACATGAAATGCATCGAAAAGTGAAATTAATCTAAATATACTAGTCTTTACATAATAAAGAAATTTCTAAGTATTTGCTTTGTTAAATATGTGCTTAGAATTGATAAAATTGGGCCCAGTGGTGTGGCCTAGTGGCTAAAGTCCTTGCACTGAACATGTCAGGATCCCATATGGGTGCCATTTCTAATCCCAGCAGCTCCACTTCCCATCCAGCTCCCTGCTTGTGGTCTGGGAAAGCAGTTGAGGGCGGCCACAAGCATTGGGACCCTGCACCTGTGTGGGAAACCTGGAAGAAGTTCCTGGCTCCTGGCTTCAGATCGGCACAGCACCAGCCATTGCGCTCACTTAGGGAGTGAATCAGTGGATTATAGGTCTTCCTCTCTGTCTCTCCTCCTCTCTGTATTTCTGACTTTCCAATACAAAAATAATAAATAAATCTTTAAAAAAAAGGAATTGATAAAATTATAACAGTTTTAGGAAAATCTATGAGTTAACTGAGAACACATGAAATGTCTAGAGAAATTGGAGGGGCGTGGCATATAATTTTTGGCAATAGGAGAGTGAAGAAAAATCTTAGATTACACTAAGCTTTCTTTAAAGGCAATATGAAACAGTAAATAGAAGAGCCTTTGGGCGGGAAACCAATGATTTTTAATTAGATGGCTATGACTTAACTCGAACACAACCATCATAAATGACAATGCTCATGCAGATGTGAGGTGGGAGAACGCTGCCCACAGTCTTACCGCACAGGAGGTTTTACGTTATGACAATGAGATGATTGTGAATTCAGGGAAACAGGATGGGATGAAGGAATCTTGTATTCATCATCATCATCTTCTACCATGTCTTTTGTTTTCTCTGATAGAGAATTGGCTAACGGACCAGTACACCTATCAGGGGAGAAAAAATCCAATCCAGTTGGAGCAGAATAATCAAAACAGGAACTTCTGTCGTGATATACTTAAGTCAATAGTTCTACATTGTCACTTAGGTTCGTTTTCCAATTAATTACAGGGTTACAAATGAGAAACCATTCTTAGATCAAATACAAATGGAAAGGATTTTCAATATTTTGTGAGGATGCTCCTGACAGTTACAAAAATTTCAAAGCTATAATTCTAAATGGTACAATATGAAAACTAATAACCTGCCAACGAAAATTAAAACAAGCTAGCTTTGAAAGAGACAAATAAATAAAATAATTCAAACCATTATTAAGATAGTAGCATTTGTTCCAACTTAAATCGGCAAAATAAGATAAAAATAAATTCAGTCACTAAAAATGAAGTCTTCAGAGAAGCGTCAATTTTTTGGGGGGAATTTTATTTGCAGCTGAAAAACGATCTTGTCAAATCCAATGAAATGTAAGCTCATCTGTAAAATTATAATTTGCTCCTTGTTTTTGCCTAAAACAGCTCAGAAGTAAAAATGAACTGAACAATTAGAAAATTAGAAGCAGACAAAAGAAGACTTCAAGTCTTTGCAGCAGAGTTCACTGTATTTATGGCTCATACTCTTGTGCTAAATGGAAGACAACTCAAATGAGTAAAACCAACCCCTAAGTGACTGCAATTTTGAAGCACCTTCTGTAGAGGGTGCAATAGGCCTTGGCATATGGTGCTATCAGCTCTAAAACAAGTTTTTTCCTTTTGATTTTTTCCTTATTGCAAGTTGAGTAACCCTTGTCCAAAATGCTTGGCACTAATTACATGTCCAATTTCCTGTTTTTTCTTTTTCAGATTTTTGGACTATTTCTACAATTTATTGGTGTGAGTGTTCCTAATCTGAAAATCTGAACTCTAACATGCGCCTAATACAAACCCTTTTTGAACACTCTGTGAGAATGCTGTTTTGGATTTTGGATTTTTGCATTTCCAAATTAGAGAAGCTTAATCTGTAGTCAAAACAGAAACAATTCTCTCTGTGCGTTTCTCTGTGCCCATTAGCAGATGACAGTCTGGAAAAAAGCAAAGGTTTTCAGGTATCTTCCGCATATCTCAGTCTCTAGGAAGTTTAGAGATCAAACGAAAATTTTTTCTAACATTTTTTAAAAGTGCATTTTTTCTTGTCTTTGAAGAGTTTTTCAATACTGATCACTGAATTCTTAGTTGTGTAAGCTACCATGGAGTTTAAGTGGCAGTGCATGGTGAGATAAAGTGGTGCTGTGGTAGAGGGTTCAATGTCAAAGCTGAGAACAAAAGCTAAGAACCCTATGTTCACAGTAGCACAATCAGTAATTGCAAAAACATGGAAGCAACTGAAATGCCCATCAGCAGAAGATTAGATAAGAAAACTTTGGTTCATCTACTCCATGGAATACTACTCAGCTATTAAAAAAAACAAAATGCAGTTCTTTGTGGCTAAATGGGCCCAACTGGAAACTATCATGCTAAAGGAAATGAGTGAATCCCAAAAGGTTAGATACCACATGTTTGCCTTGATTTAACCTGTAATTTTTGTTTGGTTGTTTGTTACTTTTTGAACCCTGTCATTGATACTATCTCAACCCAGATGTTTTGAAGAATTGAACTTGCATTATGTTTAACATATTGTTTACTCAATACTATGTCAATTAATTCCATAATGTTGTATATTGATGCTGAGGTTTTGTTGGGGCTTTTAACTGACCTGAACTTTACTCTGTTAGCTCTACCTTCAGACCAGAGAAGGTCTCCCCAAGAGGCCGCTGAACTTATCTGGACAATAAGATGCTTGACTTTATGCTAGGTATATGCTTGTAATGAAGGAATCTCAACTGAACTTGAACTGTGGTTATGCAGCAAGGTAGAGGAATCCACTATGGGGGGTGGGGTGTAGGAGGGGTGGGGGGAATCCCCAGTGCCTATAAAACTGTATCACATAATGCAATGTTAATAACAATACAAAAAAAGGAAAAAAAAAAGAACCTTATCAATAATGTCTCTACACATTCTACAGCTTAACTGTGGAGGATTTATTTTCCAACTGAAAACTACTATAAGGACTACAGCATACATAAGTTATGGACTACAAAATGGTAATCTTATGTAAGGGTTTGAAAATATTAATTTGCCATAAAATATTGTAAACAAAAACATCAAGTAAGCAACAGAAGAGTCAGAATGGGTTCGTCTTTCAAATGAAGTAGGAATTCTACACATCATTTCTATGTCCCCACATGCTGCCACTCAGAAAAATCACAGCCAGAGATTTAAAGCAAAATAGAGCTGTTTCGGAACCATTACTGCACATGTGCCATGAACAAATTTTTCCAAATGAGTTTTATAATACACTACTAAATTTAAAAGCATCTTCATGATATCAAGAAAAATCAGTATGGCATGCTAGTAAGCTTCAAGATGAGCTTGAATTCTACACATTTCTGTGACTTTCCTCTCTAGTGATCTGAAGCTGTTGCGCACCTGTGCGCTGTCTAGCTTTCCTGCTCTTCGCACAGACACGCTTTCTTACTTTTCCAGATTCTATTTCAGCGTAATCCGCTCAGAGGTTTTTGTCAAGGTCCTCATCTAAAGCAAAAATCATTTATCCATTACTTATTCACTTACAGCCTATTTTCCCTCCAATCATTTATCACTAGCTGCAACAGATAATACAGTCATGTTTTGCTTTCTCCTCTGCACAATAACATGAACTCCATGTAGGGCAAGCATTTATCTTCTTTATGGTGAATCCCAGGATGGAAATAGATGAAATCTGGATACTCCATTCATGTAATCTAAAACACTAGCACTTCATAAAAACATATTACAATAGTCAACAATTCTACCTCTAACAGTTAAAGAAATACTTTTCTTTTTCCAAAGGAAAAAATGCACCTACTGGGGATGGAAGGATGATGTGGAGGTTAAAGCACCACACTCCACATCAGAGGGTGTGAGAACACATCTTAGCTCTGCCACTGCAGGCTTCACAATTTAGCAAATAATTTTATTTTCTCCCTAGAAGCAAAAATTGCCCATGCTTTAAGTACTTAAAGTTTTATATTCATAGATAAGTATGCTAATGATATGAAGGAGAAAAATTTCCTTCAGAAAAATTAAGTATTTATATAGTTCCAGTTTCAGCTTACTTGTAGAAACAAATTCTATACTTTTCCGAGTCTCAACAAGAATTATACAATGAAAATCTTATCGCTGTAAAGAGATACGGATTTATAAAAAGAAAAAGAAACATTATTACAGAACTTTCTAAAAATCAAATAAATGGGAATCAGAGTAATGGCATTTCAATAAATACGTAACAGAACAAATTCTAGCTTTGATATTTGTGAATTTAACTCCATATTTCTGAGATCTGGGAAGGTTTATGTTTAACAGTAACTTAACTTCGGGTTTTGGCCTGATTTTGAAACATGCATTACAAAATAAAATATCCTTATTTCAGTAACTGACATTTTATTAAGATCTTTATTCTATACTCATTGTACCCTGGTTGAACAATGTAATGAGAACAAAATCGATCAATAATAATAGCAATAACTATATTTATTATTAGGCCAATCATTTGAATCACATAGTTTTAATAACAGAATAGCACCAATCAACTTAAAGAAATATGCAAGTTGTCAAAATTTCACCTATAATTGATACCAAAAGAAAAAATAATCTTTAAAAAATTGTATAAACTCTAAAATGCTGAAGCTCAAAATAATTTAGAGATTTTAATCTAAGCTAATTCTCTCAATTACCAGATGGAAAAACTGGGGCCTAGAAAGTAATTTAAAAATAAGAAAAACATAGAAACCTAGTCTGATTTTATTTCACTTATCTTTTATAATTTCATAATTATTTAATAATAAACACAATGCACAATAAGAGACTTATGACAATAATAGGTGACTAAGGAGACAATACAATCTAAGTTATGTAAACATTCTCAATAAAAACGTTGCTATTAAAACTATAGACACTGATATTTACTCTTTGTGCTTGGTTTGCTAGGTATAAGAAGTATTCTTTCTTTTATGTTCACTATAAACACGAAAAGAAATTCTGCAGAAAAAATATGCCATTCAACTCTTTAACACATTGTTAAATACGGCTAACTTGTAGCATGAAAAATATAAGAAAAAATGTTCTGCCAAACATACACTGTTAACGTATTTCTGCTATAATTAAAACAACTGTGGTGTTTCTAGGAGAAAAATCAGGAGTCCATGGAGTGCAAACATAATCATGGCTAATTTTAAATATACTTTCAAATTTTAAAAATATTACCAAACACTGTACCCTGAATGTATTTTTTGCTTTATTTTACAGAAGCGGGTACTTAACATTAAATATAAATAAAATCACTACAGATTCTTCTTTGAATGCTACTTGCCAATATATTTAATGAGCAGAATGTTTAAATTTAATCTCTAAAGACCAAGATTACATTTATAGGCAATTGCATTTGGATGTTTTATTACATATGCACATGACCAGAATTCATCTGAGTTTAGAACACCCTCATATGTTTTTACTTATTTAGCAGCCAGTATGCCAAGTGTATTATTATTTCAAACTTTTATGTCTGTCATCAATTTGCAAGTTTCAAGAAAAGCTGGCACTGTAGAATGGCCCAATGGACTCAGTTTTGTACTATGTCTGTGCAATATCAAATATTATATTCTTGCATTTTTCCCTGTCTTTCCCAAATGTGATAATCCCCTGACTTGAGATATTTTTTTATATTTCACGAAAAACTTTAATTTACCAAGAACGAGAGATTCCACAGCCCTCCAACTGCATATAAAACAAAGTTAGTATTAGATAATATGCCATATAGTATTCCCTATGGATTTCATGCTAAACTAATTTAATTCTCTAAATAGATGTGTGGTTTGGGATCTAACTTAACCTTCTTGAAATTCAAAGATTCAGTGGGAGCTGAGTGCCCTGTACAGGAAGAAATAAGAAGTCCTATGACTTATAACTAAAAATGAGGACCTTGGCAGACAAAATTAAAATCAGTCACCCAAGTAACTACATATCCTGGCTATGCCTGCTGTATATCAGATACAATAAGGTGCTACAGGAGAATCACAGAACAAAGATGTTTTGGCTTCAAAACCTTATTATTCCATCTACTCTAGACAACCATATTAAAATTAGGAAACAGCAATCAATATACATCAAAAGTTCACAGAAAATGTGCATCACCTTTCAATTCAATTCTACCATTCACTTTTGAAAAATCATCACACAGTAAACAAACTAGCGCAAGGAAAGAACATCAATTTTAATCACTCTAACTGAAGAAGTTATTGAAGTAAATGAACATCAGACATGCACCGTTAGGACTTTAAGTTAAACATATGTCTTTCATAATTTGATTACTTTCAGATATTTTCTGGTAAAAGAAAACGAACCTAAGACAGAATGTAACCAGGAAAGGCAGAATGTAAATTAATGAACTCAACTGCAGTGAACAAGACACACTCAGTCAAAGACCTGTAGGCCTGACTTCATATACGAAATAAGAAAACAAAGACTGGGATACCTGGTGTTACACCCACGTGGGCTAAGATTAACAATCCAGTACTGCTTAGTTACCATTTTCCAATGTGATACCCAAGTTAACCAATTTATTTTTTGCCTTTAAGACACATATACTAATCTTGATACGGTAAGAGCGAAGGATATTTTAGTTGTCTAGCTATGAGGCAAAGCTAGAGCAATGGTGTAGATTAGAATGCTAAGAATATCTCACAAATATTACTCATTTTATACAAATTAAAAAGAATAGTCAACAGGACTTTATAGCTAAATGGGTATGAGAAACAGAAAAACTGGAGGATCAAGGACTGTTATGTTGTCAGAGCAGGTAGTTGGGATAAAACATGATACCTTTCAGAAACTCAAATTGGAAGGGAGAACGCATTGTGCTACCCTACCTTCTTCTTGGATGCAAGGAATATTTAGCTTTTTCTCCCTGTTGCTCAATGTATGATCTCAAGAAAGGTTAATTTTCATGGAAGTCACAGTTAACAGCAAAGGCTGGAAAGATCTTGGGTTTCTACTATACTGGCTCATTATCTGACTGGATTTTTATTTATTTATTTTTTTTAATCAATGCTTCTCTATTCATACCGGAATTTCTGTTTGAGTAAATCACAAACATGAACTGTATCTACGATACTTTTATGCACGGACCAATCACCTACGAATTCACTGAAACTCACTTCACGTTAGGGAGAAGGTTGGCAACTGGAGGAGGAGGTGAGAGCCGAGGAGGCACGTCATATTCTTCATTTCCAAGGTGACCATTGGAGAAGACCTGAAAACAAATCAAATGGTTATAGTCAAAGAATTCCACATCTTGGAGGATTTTGAGCCAATACAGTTCTCAGAAAACTTAGCATTGAAGACACCTAATTTCAGTTTATTTAAACAGGTAAAATATCATTTAAAAAAATCAGCAGATATAATTCTTAGCTTTTTTAAAAAAAATTTAATTTATTTGAAAAGCATAGTTACATAGAGAGTAGTCTTCCATTGGCTGGATTATGCCCCCAAGTAGTCACAATGGCTGAGGCTGAGCCAATCTGAAGCCAGGACCCAGCAGCTTTTTCTGGGTCTCCCATGGGGTGCAGGGGTCCAAGGTCTTTGCCCAGTCTCTACTGCTTTTCCAGGCCACCAACAGGAAGCTGGACTGGAAGTGGAATAGCCAGGACATGCACCAGTGCCCATAAGCAATGCCAGCAAACTAAGCCACAGCATTGGCCCCTGCAACTATTACCTTAATTTGTTCTAAATAAATATGTTCTAAATTGTATCTTTCTGGGATTAACATAATAGTCAAAAGCTTCTTGTTATAACAGTTGAATCAACTCAGAAGTATCTTTGTTCTTTCAAGGTTGAAGCTTGGTAACTAGAGACCTGTCCTAGCTGTTATATAGCATAATTTTCAGCATGTGAGCACCACACACAATTGTTAACTGTTCATGAGGGTCCATATACAGCTGGTGCTTAAACACTCAAAATTAGGAAACTTTAGGTATCTCAATCACAAGAAAGAGGCTGTGTGGACAGTTCTCTTTGACAAGTAATTCAATAAAGACATACACACAAGAAAGTACTACATATATTTTGCAACCTTTAAGTAAACTTTTAAGTAAACTTAAACTATCATCCAAGGTGGTTTTTTTTTTTTTTTGCCAACTCTATCTATACTGAAAAGGTAGACTGATGCTAGGGTGCAACGTATAAATCACTTGAATAGCCCAAGATAATCCAAAGAGCCACCAATCACCTTTTCCTCCTTCATATTCCTAAGAACACAAAACAGAAAAGGCCATAACACATCTATCAATGAGAAATAAGAAAAAAAGGAGTCTGAAAAAAGCATCTGAAACTTATCAATGCTTGCATGTCAAAGCTACAAAATCTAATTTTACAGAAATAAAATTTCAAACTAAACACTAGGTTTTACGCATTAGTTCCAACTATCTTGTTCACATCTTCCCCTGATAATTTAATATACTGCATTAAATCTATGTTTAAATGAGATGATTTTATCATAGATTTTTGACCATAGGCAAGATTTTCTGAAGTTGGCTACAGAGAAGAAATACTTATTAATCACTGCACAATACAACAAAATCCTTTGCCGTAAAAGTGCATCTTTTAATAAGCATACCTGTATCAAGCTACAACTACCCATTGTAAGAATGACTGTTTGAGGTCATTCTTCATCAGAGATTTTTGCTTGCTGCTAGAACAGATGCAGCTTTATAATTTTTGCAAGAAAAACCCTTCCAAGTTTCCATCATAAGTTTATTTTGGAAAAAGTAACATGGATTTTATATGTATTAGTTTGATAGTTCATGATAAAGTATCAACTTATGAAACTACTTAAATTTTAGCAAAATAATAATAAGAAGCGTAATGGAAATGGCAGTCTTTTTCTTAACCTTAATTTGTCAAAAAACCAACCATGATTTTGTTATCTATGCAAAAAACAAACCTGAAAAATAATGCAATATATATATATATAGATAGATGTTTACTGATACTGAATATGCTTTCTTTTTGTACATTAGAGTAATGAGACTGTAAATATATTAGTAACAGAACTTACAGAACATTCTTATGTATTACTCTTAAACTTCATGAAAATAAGTTGCACAGGCAATGATGTCTACCACTGATAAATGACAAGGTGTAGTAAATAAGGTAACTGATTCTCCGGGAGTGTTAACAGCCTAGCAAAACGTGCTCCTAATTTTGTGAAGCAATTAACATGCTTAAAATTGCAAATAGTGCTTTTCTCCAACTGCTTCATGAACAGGATTGTTAGCACAGTAACGGATAGCTCTCTTTCTCTGTAACGGCCTGGATGGAATCTCTTCTGAACCCTTCATCTGCTGCTTGGCATCTGCTGAGGTTTCCATTTGTTCTGTGCAGAAGCCATGCCACACTGATCTCATTTCAGAGTGAAGGATCTTTTATTTCTCCATCATTATATAGTTCTTTCCCACTAGCATTTAACACACAGTAGGGCTTAAGTGAATACCATCTGCTGATTAACTTAGATTGACATTATGATTGGAGAAATTTTGATACTGAGAGAAGAAACGAAACAGTTCACAGAGGCACTGAGAAAATGTATCTGATCTGTTTACCAGATGATCTTTCAGTAACCTCTCTGAAAACATATTCTAAGAATTAACAATATGTCTACTACTAAACGCAGAATTCTTTACTGTCATTTAATTGACTATACAAACATGTGAACTGCAAAAGACCTAATTGTGCGAAACACTAATGCTAATATTTCTAGTCATCTAAAGTGACTGCAATTCTTTACACTAGTTAAAATGAGATTAAACATATGTCATTCTGAATTCTATGTTCCCAACCAGTATTTTCATTACACTAGAGAAAATTTTAGCTGTGAAAATTCAGTGAAAATTTTTTCACTATCTGAGGAAGTGCAATACATTACTTTTTGAGCCAGCAAGTAAACATTTAACATTCTACTGAAATCTGAAAAATGAGTTTGTAAATAATAAAAAGCAACAGTTCCTCAAATGATACAGAGTGTTCTTACCATATAAGGCAGATACATTCACATTTCATTCACCCTCCAACAGGGAAACACCTTTTGTCCTTGGCCATAAAGTTCTTCAGGTTTCCCACATGGGTGCCTAGGCCCAAGAACCTGAGCCGTCCTCTCTGGCTTTTCCAGGCCTTCAGTAGGGGGATCAGAAGTCGGGCAGCCTAGACACAGGCTACTACTTCACTGAACTGGACCCAAGAATCACCTTTATGTCCATGGCCTTCCCAGTCAATAGTCACTCCCGGTACTATCATAATTCCATTGAAAGACTATTGACTTAAGTCATCTAATTCCACAATTCTTTTTTTTTTTTTTAAGATTTATTTTATTTTTATTGGCAAGGCGGATATACAGAGAGGAGATACAGAGAGGAAGATCTTCCGTCCGATGACTCGCTCCCTAAGTGAGCTCAACGGCCAATGCTATGCAGATCTGAAGTCAGGAGCCTCTTCCGGGTCTCCCACGCGGGTGCAGGGTCCCAAAGCTTTGGGCTGTCCTTGACTGCTTTCCCGGGCCACAGGCAGGGAGCTGGAAGGGAAGCTGGGCTGCCGAGATTAGAACCGGCGCCCATAAGGGATCCCGGGTGTGCAAGGCGAGGACCTTAACCACTGTGCCATCGTGCCGGGGTAATTCCACAATTCTAATCCTGTCCTTCCTCTACTAAAAACAAGACAAAACAAAAACAAATTCTTGAAACTCTCTTTATCAAAGTATGTTTTAACAAATATTAGTAGAAAAAAGAGAAAGGAAAATTGTGAGAGGAAGAATGGGTAGTATCACGTATTTAACTTACATGTATGAAATATTATAAAACCTCTCAATTTTAATATACATATTTGAAAAAATACAATAATCTAATAAACTCTAATTGGAACAATCTGCTTTTGTTGCATTTTACATTACCTGCCCTTCTTTTTCATTTGTAATATTTCTAACCAAGCTACCCATCTTTTAATATTTATTGACATTAACTCTTAAGGAGCCTTCTTTGTCCCATTTTTCACTCAGTATCACAGATTTTTGTATCCTTCTTGAGTATCTTACATATTTGGTGGATATTTCTTATGCTATCATTTTCCCATTATTTATATAATGAGACCAGATTTTGTGCATTTCATGATGATATTCCCTACTATTCCTTTCTTTCTCCTTTTGGTTTTTGTAATAATGTTTTCAATTTACAATAACAGGCATAATATACATTAGATAAAGAATAGTAAGTAGAAATTAGGAAGACTATCAAACGTTATCGCTTATTCCTGTATATGTTTCCTCTTTTTTGACTACATTTATTCACTTTCGAGGTGCCAGTAGCATCTTGAGCATTCCAAGAACTCATGGCAGTGAATTAGGATTAAGGGATATGAATATATCAATGGTAATTTAGTTTTTAGAAGAAGTATAACCTAGACTATAAAATTTATTTTAGGTTATAATGATACTCTTTTTCTACATGCCACAAGGTCTTATCTAAAATATTATCCCCTAAAACTCATTTTTGGGCTCTCAGTTTGTAAAGCTCGAGTTCATGTTCAGAACCAGACACCCAGACAGAATAAAGTTCAGCTTAAAACTAGCTTCAGTGGGAACACTCCAGAGTGAGGTTAACTGATCCAGTACAGAGAGCAGGCCAGCGAAAAAGTTACCCCCGGGGGACATGAGGGATTGTTTTTATTAGGGGGCTGAAATGGTGTGGTTTGTTGGGACAAATGAATGTGCCTTCTTTGGTGCTAGAGTGCTACACGCTGCTCTTGATCTTGGTGAACCCATACTTGCTGCTTAGCCGAGGAGGGGGCTGCACTCTGCAGGCACACCGAGTTGGCCACCTTTCTCAGCCTCCTCCTGGGTTGCCTCTCACCCACCCCGGCTGGGCCTCACACAGTAGTTCACTGAGATGCCTGCCTTGTCTATCAGGAGTCAGCAATTCTGTCTCTTCACTTTTTTCAATGAACTATGCTAAAATCACACACACACACATCCACCCCCTCTCAGATGAAGAGAAATGTTTTGTCAGTGACTCAAACATTGTCTAAAAGCTGAAGGCCAATTCGCTTGAAATATAAAGAAAATTTTTGTGCCTGTGAAAATTTTAGTGCAATTAAAAACACATTTTTTAAAATTTTTACAGTTTCCCAAAGGTATTTCCTTTGGTTACGCTCTCAAATGCCACCCCTAAACTATTCATGTATTCTGTGTTTTAGTATTAGACTGAAAATGATCGAAAACCAGCACACCAAAAGGATATATTTTCTAAAAGATAGCCTTGCTATTTACAAATGAGGCAGGGCCAATTATACGAACATGAGCCTCTTCACCAAAAGTGCAGAATGGCACACTCTCAAAAAGAGGGATCATTTTATATAATTGTCTAGCAACAGCTCCAAAAGATTATTATACCTCATGGCATCTTTAGACCAATGTCACTGTGAGTAACATGACAAGATAGCTTTTATCACCTAAGAGACAGAAGTTTCCTAACCTCCTGAGCGGAACCAATTATGACAGCTATGTACATGATCATATCTAGAATTAAGAGGAAGGTTTTGAAATATTTTGATATTTGAAAATATTTTAATGCAAGGATTTTCACAACTGATAATTAAACACACACACAAAAACAACTCCAAAACACAAAACAAAACAAAATCCACTAGCCAAAAAGACTGGATTTAAACTGGGGATGCAATCAGAATAGCAGTGGTGCTACAGGAAAATTATCTCTCACTATTAATACAAGATAAGCAGATCTAGCAACTTTTAGCTTACAGATTCAAACTAATAGCAAAGTATCCTTGCACCTGACTGTATCAGCAAATAAAAAGGGGACCAAAGGGTCTACGAATGAATGTGGAGGAAATTCTCACACTACAGTTTAACCATGAAATGGTTCTTTTTTTTTTCCCCCTTTTAGAACTCTACACAATTAGTAAATGGGTTAATTAGCATTGAAATTATTCCTGGTCCTTCACCAGTCATCCTGTGAAGAGACAAACACAAAAGGCAAATGATCTCCGTGGACAGTGGGAAAGTGCCCTGTTGACAAGCAACCATGAAGAAGTGGAGGGGGGGGCGAGTCTTTTCTCAAGTGCTTCCCTTTAACTTGAGGTATTCTCTAGGTGCGTTTAATCTTTAGGAACCTTTTAGTTCTTGTCTACACTTCCTTACCTTCCAAATGGGAAGACTGCAATTAACTGGAAGCATTACCTCTACCACTTACCCCTCTAAATGACAGTTGTTACTATTTGACCAAAAAAAATGTTTATCACCTTATATTTAGAGACAGGTTTAGTACAGAGAAAATTACTCTCCAAAGACTTAAATTTACATATCATGTGTGCTTACAATGAAACAAAACAAAATGGTATGCTAGGTATAAAAAGACAGTTAATATTTATTATTTTCATTGCAAATATCAATCTTATTTAAAAAAATCATCACTATTTTCTCTCCTAACTGCTTTTTTTTTTTTCCGAGATCTACCAGTTTAAAGCTAATACTCTCCCAAAGGGGGTTACATTTTTTTTTAAACAAGATGTTTCTAATCTGCTAGTTGAAATTAGAAATCCTGATTTAATTTGTTAAAACCAATTCAGATTGTAACACAAAATTAACTTTGAGAATATAAGCAGTACTGAATTAATACAAAGAATATATGAGATTAGACCTTAAAAATACTAATGACAATTATTTAGATAGAAATAAACAAGAATAGGCTTAAGAGACATATTTTTGTGGACCTTAGCCCCTGGATCTCTCCCTGCTTAGCCCACCTGGGAGGCCTTAGCAACAGGGTGCACCATGTGGGGATGGGGAGCGGGGAATCACGTGACACAATGGTCTTGCCTGAGACCTCAACCCGGCTCGTTCACTGGCCATGCAGCACGAGCAGTGGGCTATACTCTTGCCTCTCTTGCCTCTCTTCTCTTCTCTTCCCTGGATGAACTGTGCTTGGACTTCCCTGATAACTAACTCTAAGAAATTAAAAGCGACCAACATTCTGTTCATCAGCCACCTGTGATGAGTATTCCCCAAGGCATATCCTTTAGCCCAGGTGCTGCCCTCTGTGTGCAGGTGAAGCTCGGTTTATCTGCCAGTGGCTGAGGCACAGCTTCCACCCTGTGAGCAGATTGTGATCTGTGATTGGATGGTCCAGAGACACAGGCATGCCTAGTAGCCAGTCACAATGATTGCTGGGTAGAAACAATGTCGGGACCACCCTTCTGGCTTCCCCTTCTTTACTCAATATGCATCCTTTACCAGTTTGTTCCCGGTGGTTCTGCAGCAGCAGAACACCGTCACCTCACCCCTCGGTGGTCTCGAGGGCCTGCTGGTCAGGAACTCCTGACAACTGGCACCTTGAACAGGGACCTGAAGACCTCAGCAAAAGTCTGGGTGAGGCCCATGCCCTGGCTGGAGGGCTAAAGATTCTGCCCGGTAGGGGGCTATGCCTCAGTTTGGAAGGCTAGAGATTCCACTGGTTGCACCCTGCTTTGTGGGTATTCTCGGACGGATTTCACTTGGTTGATGGAGCTTCTGGAATCCTGTCTTCTTTCTACCTCTGGGACACAACATCTGATGGTCCAAATAATCTGCCACCTATTTGGGAGACCTGGATGCAGTTGTAAGCATCAGCATTGGATTACAGTACATTCTACTGTGGTAATCTGGGAGAACTAGGAGTGGGAAGAATCCTGTCTGTCTTCCCATGCCTCTCAAATAAAACATAAATATACGCATATATTCTAAAATTTTTCAAAAAAGAATAGTCAGTGTCCTAGAGCTAAGGTTAAGATTCTATTAGTGCTAAAACTACACAACATAATTTCTAAAAGAACCCAGAAACATTGACTGCTTAAATGAACTGTTCTGGTTATTATTTTAGGTATTTGTGAATTCCATTCAAAACATAATTTCACTGAAACATGACCAATGGTTTGGGTTGTTCTAGTGCTTTTCTCAGAAGTCCCTTATGAAAAAAAAGAAAAAAAAATCAAAGAAGAAACAAAGAAGAAAACAGAAAAGCAAAGCAAATACTTTGACGTGGGATTCTAGGTTGCAGAAAAAATGTTTCTAAGGATAAGCTCCCCATTTTAAGAGAACATCACAAATTGTTTTCATAAGTGCTCCCACCCCACACTATGCATAGATGACTTCAGGGTGTCTTTGGAGATTACTAGTTACAACACATGAGAAAGGAGGGCCCAGGAGAGTCACCACCAACCAATCATTCCCGTTATTTGAATACTGTATTAGATGATTTTTTGTTTCCTGTTTACCACTGTGGTGATGTATTATTACACAGCGAACAGACATTAGCCCAAGGGCTTGCGACAGCACTAGGGATGGCTGTGTCCCACATCACAAACCTTGTTCAACTGCCAGACCTGGACTCCAGCTTCCTACTAATGCAAACCCTGGGAAGTACCTGAGCACTCAGGAGGAAACTTTTTATTGAGTTAGTCTACAACTTTGGCCTAAGAATTTCTTGAAACTGTATTTGTGGAGGAATGAAGCAGATAAGTGCTAAATTTCTAGCACTCTTTTCCTTCATGTAAAATAAAATAGTGTAAGCCAAGATTCTCATTATCACTGTTACCTTCACACATGTGCTCATGTACACATTCACATATGTGTGACACTTCCCATTCCTTCCTTGCTATCTGAATACCAGATAGACTAAGCAACTACAAACCATTATTTTGAAGTCTATTCCCCTAAAAGAACATTTAAGATGAACAGAAATGGCACTCCTTGAAAATGAGTCTGCAGTTTGCAGTGTGGTATAGCGGGTTTAGCTGTCATCTCCAACACCAGCAGCACATAAAGGGCAAGGGTTCGAGTCTCGGCAGCTTCACTTCTTACACAGCTCCCTATCAAAGTGCCAGGGAAAGAGGGGAAGATGGCTCGAGTGTTTGGACCCCTGAAACCCACATGGGAGTTCAGATGAAATACCTGGTTTGTAGCTTCAGCCTGACACAACCCTGGCTGTTGTCACTGGGGAGTGAAGCAGTAGATATAATACTGATCTCTCTCTCTCTCTCTCTCTCTCTCTCTGTAACTCTGCCTTTCAAATAAATAAGAAGATGGCAGGGCTTTCATCTGAGAACCCAAAACATCATGGAATCAAATACAAGAAACTATTACACTACAGCTCTGAAAAGACACTAACAAGAAAACTAAGCACAATGTATCCTGTAACTGTCTCATCACTTCCTTGTATTACTTGAATTCTTCAATATATACATGATAGTGGTGATACCTTTACAGGTGAGACTCAACAAGTCTAAGACTCTCTCAGTTTTATGGACAAACAGCTTGCTTTGTAAGACTGAATTAAGATTGGTGTTTTTAAAGATGTGAAAACTTCATTTTTTTTTCTGGGTGCCTAAAATGTATTATCCCAGGAAAAATCCACTAATTCTAACAACTGAATTATGATATGTATAATCATGTATCTCCCCGCAAAAGATGACATAACTTGGAGAATTAAAAAAAAAAAAGAACCAGGTGGTTCTAACATCAGCAAGCTATTGAGAGAAAATTTTGGCAGAGAAAACCAGGGAGAGAGAAATAAATCTTTGGCAAACTGTCTACTGTCTTCATCTGAAAAGGAAATCATTAATCAGGATCTTCTTCCTGACTTCTTTTAAATTCAAATTTTACTGAGCTTCTGATTATTTAGAACTTGGAAATAATTAAAGACTGGCAGGAAAGTGCCACACTAGGAAACAATACCCAAGAAATGAAAACACTGCCCACTCTTTTAATCTGTCTCCAATGAGTGTACAAGCAAGTCTTTTAGATTCTGCTTTAAATCTTACCTTGGCTCCTTCTAAAGGCAAATCATGGCGTCTGTGTTTCCGCAGCAGCACTGGGTCAGAGCCCACTCTACTGTGTCTTCCATTAACATTTGAACTAGCTGTGATTCCAGGCTTTGGAGAACCATCCCCTAGGATGCGACATCCCACCAACTGATTAGTCCCAAACACATCTCGAGGGCACCAGGCTTCAAGAGGCATAGGCTGGTCTCTACAAGGCACACTTTCTACATGATGGAAGTGTCTGCTCAGTCTATTGTCAGGTGGGATTGGCGGAGGTCTTTCTGGTGGAGGTGGAGGAGGATCTCTTACGGGAGGAGGTGGTGCTGGGAGTGGTTTATCTTGTTTTCTCACCATACAAGGAGAAGACTAAAAAAAGAGAAAAAAAATTCTGAAGATAACTTCATGGAAGTAATAATTTCTAGACTAGTATGTTACCATTTTTGTTTGCTAAACCATACAGGAGAGTTTAGATTTCTATGTCGCATTTCAATAACTTTTTTTATCATCATATAATGAAAATGTTTGAACTTTAATGAACAAATCATATAAATATATTATAGTTGGGCTTTTTTTAGAAATTAGAAGCTAAATCCAGATATTGTGATATAGAAACTACAGAAATGAATGATTTTGGCTTTAAAATTAAAAATGTCAAAAGCATTGCTGTATTTACATATTTCTAAACATTCTCTATTTAAAAATTCTTGAATGCTTTTAAAACATAACATAAATATTATTCAAATATGGTGCTTCCAATCAATTTTTGACCATAAAAGCATCTAGAAATGGCAATACTTGCTAAAATCTTAATAAAGTAATATATGCCATCTCAAATTTGAAAAAAAAAAGCCACATGGAACTAAAATAAACTGTAGGCTTAATTTACAGTTAGAATTATGTCTTCAATATTAAACAGTAATGTAATTACTTTGCAAATAATGTAATTTGTGGCACTTAATTCTACCATGTATAAAAAGTACATATAATTTCCTCTTCTGAGTCACCTTGAAACATAGGTGATAATTTATCATACCTTAAACTCTTATGCAAATATACTCCAATCACATTTTTCTTTCAATGACTTTATGAAAATGAGAGTAAAATACTGTTTGATAACAGCACACAAATTATCTTAATGCACATAATGACCTTTTAAATCCATTTTACAGAAGAGATTCTGCTACTACTTCAGCAAATTAGGGGCTATAGTCGTGGGCTGTGTCTGAATAATTGTGTAACTTTTCTGGCAAGAAAACCAGGAATGTAGCACTGTGTTAACCACAAACAAAACAAGAAACCCACTGGAGTTTTCACACTTAAATAAGCAAACAAGAGACTAGAATAATGAGTTTAAAGGAACCATGATGATTAATAATAGAGATCAGGGTGATCTTTGTTTCTAATTGAACAACTTACTTTTGGCGAACCGGTTGGGCTGCCACAGGGCGATCGGGCTATGCCTTTCTGAATCAGATCCAGGCGAGGAGGCACTGGTGGCAGGCTGAGATGAGGGATTTGGACAGGATCTGCCTGTGGCTTTCTTCTCTGGGCAAGGGGAGAGGACCCAGGAGATGTGACTGGTGAGTTCTGCCTGTCTGTGCACTAGAACAGAAAAGAGAGAGCGATGCTCTTGTTTATTCACTGGGTAGTGTGAGTCTTTCAGTGTTTGTGGAAGGCATTTAGTTTGGAGGAAGTGTTTGCCATTGTATATTTGCTAAAGTAAATATACCTTAGATACTTTAGATTCCTCTGATTAGTACATGCAAAGAGCACAAACTTTGCACCTCAGGGTCAGTATGATGTAAGGAATAGATTGAATAGGTTTGTTTTACCTACTGCAAAAAGTGCCTAAGAAAAAATAGCAGAAGTGTTGACAATAAAGTGCAGGAGATTTTTCAAGAAATCTGTTATATTTTATGAGTGATCCAGAAAAAAAATCAGCAGTACAAATTGTTCTCAGTTATCTCTATTATAAACTTTCCTTAGGCCTTTGGATATTCTGAAACATAGAAGTTTGCTTTTTCCATAAACTTGTGGGTTTCCAGGGTATGGTTTATTTCTCCATATATTAATTCACTGTTGATTTTTAAAAACATGTTTAAAATAAGCAAGCTTAAATCAAAATACAGTTCTAAGCGTTCCCATAGAAAACAAATCAGCATGTTAACCATTTTTTCAGTAAAAACAATTAACTACATAAAGGAAAACCTGTGTGCACTTCTGTTAAGAAACTGATACATTTATGTTACCAGATGTTTTGCAACTTTATGAGGTAAATAAGACAGCACCAAAATCCATTAATAAATATTTCACTTTGTAAAGACACTTATGTGACACTTTCTGGTTTTGAAAAAGTTTATTTGCATGTGTGCAGGCAGATCTGCTCTTGTGTGTGGGCTTTAATGTAGTGTACACTAATTGCTCCTTGGTATGCACCTCATATCAGCTAACCAGATCCTTTACTAGGATAAAAATAGTCCATTCAGAACTAAATGGCAACTCTATGCTACATGCCAGTTCTGTGAAGGCCTAGGCTTTTCCTTCTTGCTATTGTTAAATAATCTACCAGAATAATCTACTGTGCTTTGATATTCATCTGTTTCTGAATGCCAACATTTATAAAACATTTGGGATTGCTAATAATTTTCCTCTTAACACTCCCATCATTGTAAAACAATTGATGTCATCACCTGACAATTAAAATTTCACCAACTTTAAGGCATATTTATTTTTTTTATATCAGATGGGCCAATAAATAATTGTTCACATTCACAGTTTTATTATGTATTTTTTCTTAGCTAAAACTCAGTTTATTCAGATTATCTGGCTTTTGGGAGAGTGGGTGAGGGGACTATCCTATGCCATAGGAACTTGGGTAAATTATTTTTTTCTATGGTACATTTTTGTAGGTATAGGGATTTATTCCTTTCTCTCCCCTTTCCCTGCCATAGGACAACAGGATCTTGTCTTGGGTAGTACATTAGTTTTAGCCACTACTTCTCCTTGGTAAGTTGGTGGCTCCAGGAATTTTTTAGGGTTTTTTTTCCTTTTTGATGCCCTTTATAATTTTGTAGGGTAGTGATTACATATTTTACTGAATGTTTGTTTATTGCAAATTACATATTTTACTGAATGTTTATTGCAATTTCTCTGATGTTTTTCTTTACTTTTGATGTTTTCTTTTTTGGGAGAGAAGACCACTAAAAGTGCCTTTTTGGCACATCATGTCAAGAGCTTATCCAGCCAACATGATGGATTGTGGTTAATGTTGACTATGCTTATGTGGCTACTGTTTTAGATAACCCTAGAGTTTCTTTTATTTTTCTCTTCCTTCCCATTACTGTATTGTTAGATGAGGTCATTACAATTACATAGCCCACATATAAGGAGTGGGGAGTTATACTTCCTTTGAAAAGGATTTTGAAAAATAAGATTGCATGGCTATTGGGTATACATTCAGAGAACAAAAATATATCAAAGATTGACTTGAACTGATGCTGACATTGTAAACAGTGACTTTACTTACTATGCCACAACACCCTCCCTTTATGCAAATGTATATTTTTATTTAGTGAACATCAGAGATAAAGGGAGAAAAGGAAAAAGAATGATCCTTTATTTACTGTTTCATTCCCAAAATGCTGCAACAGCCAGTGCTGTGTGAGGCTGATGATAGGAGTCAAGAACTCGGTGTCTATCACAGGTGCCAAAGCACTTGGCCCACCACCTGTTGCGTCCAAGGGGCAATAGCATGAAGCTACACTAGAAGCAGACAACTGGAACTTGGACTTTGATTCAGTATGCTGCCACACAATGCTATCTTTCCAGATGGAATTTTATTTGGATATAATAAAGATGGAAATCTTGCAATGCTCAGCAAATGGATGCAATTGGAGAACATTATATTAAATGAAATAAATGAATCACAAAAGATACATCTTGTGAACTCTTAGTCAGGTATGGGATCTAAAAAATGTCACAGAATTAACAGGTAAAATAGTAGTCATTAGGCCAGAATGGTCAGGGAGAAAGAAGTTAGAGGAAGGTTGGATAAAGGATGTCAAAGTTCATTTAGCCAGGAAGAGTTTAAATGTTCTATAGCACAGCAGGGTAACTATAGTCTCTAACAATGTATTAGATGGCATTTTCAAATTATCTAGAAGTGCTCCATGGTTCATAGCACATGAAATGATAAATATTTGAAGAGGTGGAATTGCTAATATACCCTAGCTTGACCATTTGTTGCACACACACATGCAATTATCTCACTGTTTCCTATAAATGTGTACAAATATGTCAAAATTTAAAAAGAAAGCCAATTTGTGTGTCTCAAAAGAAGCTTCTAGGTTACATCTCATATATATCTGAATATTCTTATGACACTGTCAAACTATAAGCCTTTATAGTACCATCTAAAACAGTTAAGATTATGTAAAACTCTCATTAACGTTCAAACATCGTTTGATATATTTTTTTGAATTAACTGATCACCACTGATTCCTAGTTAAAAAAAAAATTCCTACCAAAAATTGATGGCACCTCACATGGGAACCACTGAAATCTTCTGGAGTAAAACTGGGCCCCAGGTCATCAGAGATAGGACAGAGAAAATTCTTATGTAGGATATTTGCATTACTATACTCTAGTACTGTGGACCATATGTCACAAGGCAACTGATTCCTGGCTTCAGACTAACCAAGTCCTGGCCTTAGTGGCCATTTGGAGAGTGGGCCAGCAGATGAAAGATCTCTTTTTCTCTCTTCTCTCTGCAATTCTGTCTTAAGTAAAAACACATTTAAAAAAAAAAATCAGATTTGTTAAGCCAAGAAACACACACATACGCTGAGAATGCTCAACTTTTGAGTTAGCATTGATGAGCTATTTCTCAGTGTTAGCAGCGGTAAGCTGCAACACCTGCTGAACAAGATCCATGTTCCTCAAGAGCTTTGCTTCTGCAAATATTTTCCCACTTCCCTGATTACCTGAAACATGGCACAGAACTGTAAGTGAGCCAAAAGTCTGTCATCACGGTTTAGAACTTTACTTTCACTCAAGCTGGAATAATGACTAATACTTAAGCAATTACCACATTGCCAGCGTGTCTAAGTAATGAAATGGATTTGATTTGAAGCAGGTGAAGAGCTTAAACATTGAAACAGCATATTGAAAATCCTCAGAACAGTATCCAACACAGTGTGTGTGGTGAAGTGCTAGCGCAAATGTTCAAGGTTCTTGTGGATTCTGCAACCTTGTGACTGCAACTGAAAGCAAATTGCTCAGCAAAATTCATACTGTGCTTTAAAGATAATCAAGTACTGCTGAAAACCTTAGATTTTGAAGCAATACATTAGCTGCAAAGTGACTTTCTAAGAAAGACTTTATGGCAGTTGTGTATTAATATGTGAAGGGACAAGAACATTTCATCTTTATTGAGTATATGAACCAAATCCATCCTAATTTATTCATTTTCCTGGGTTCTCAAAATGATAGAAATTTCCACATAGCAATATGTAATTTAACAGTGCCTTTTTTTAATAGTAATGCATTCCTTTCTTCTGAACCTTTTCCTATTTCAATGAACAATTCTGCAAATATAGCATTAAAACTTCAGCTTCTTGTTATTGCTATTTTCTAGCCAGTAACTAATTTTCTGACACCCTCTTGAGACATCAAATTTTTGTTCTCAATTATTTGCTTTTGTCCTGGCCATGTTCAAGTTACTTCAAGCAAATGGAGAGTGAACCAGTAGAAGGGTAGAAAAGTATTCTTTCCCTTGGTCTCTGGTTATAAATAAATACATCACAAAATAAATGAGAGAAAAAAGAGAGAAACCAAATTATTTCTCCTTTATTGCACAAGGGGACTTCGCAAGGTCTGTAGAAAAACTGAATTAAAAAATATTGCAACCCATGTGTGTGGGGGTTGAAAACACAGAAACCCATGCAAACTGTGTATTATTGTAAAAACTAGGTATGTAATTTTATGACTGCATGAACTTTTTCAAGTACCATTTTTGTCACCTGCTTTATGTAATATTTATGTTTTGTTATTTTACATGACTTAATTATCAATATTAAACAACTTAATTCTTAATTCTATATAATTTGTACCTGTAAACACAGCACTTATCTCTATTATTTAAACAGGTGGTATTTTGCTTACAGGAAAATTATAAATTTCACTTGTGGTTTACTTGCAAAATTAAGCTTTATGGAAACTAATTACAAAGAACAAATATTCTTATGGAAAAAAATCAGGTAAGTAAATACATCAATACAAACTTTCAATGTAAAGCACGTAAAAGGTAAGATAAAATCAGAATGCAATGTATCAATGGAAAATTCACCACCTATTAGTACTGCTACCTGCAGATTACAGGCCCAGTTTAGTCCATTTCATGGCAGATAATGAGTTAGTAAAATTAAGGGAGACATTATAAAATTAAATTGTAAAGCATTTAATTATTTGGATGATATAATTAGGAATGATAGAATTAAGAGAATGGGCAAAGTAAATTTATCATAATCTCCAGTTTCAGCCAAAGTCTGTTTTTCTTCAACATCAAAAGATACAATTCCAAAAGAGGTATCTTCAAACAAATG